CTTGTAGGTACCTTTCACAGATTGGGTCGCAATTAAAACTGTAAGAGGACACATGTCCTCTTCAAAGTCTTACGTCATACCAATTCGAACATTAATAAATCACACTAATGTCGCGTAAAAGAGTTAAATAAATAAATAATAAATAAATAAATTAATAAAAGTTAGTTGGATTCACGTATTTTTAGGAACAACGATATTGCCACGTGTTAGTGACTAGATCCGGGGTTTGGATTGATAAATGGATTTATTGGGACCTTATAACTCGTAACTACAAATTATTACAACAATATTGTTAATTTACATACTCTAGAAATCATTACAATTACAGCGAACACAAACTTGTTTGTTTCTTATTCTCTCGTCACTAGTCGTTGTTAGGTAGCGGATGCTAACAATGGAAATTTCTCACTGCCAACCACGGACTGCTACTGCTGACTCGCAACTCAGACTAATAACCGCGATTCCCATCTCAGAATGTCCTACTGGTTGTTCCTCGCGACATAACCTAGCTGAGAACCACAGAAAACATCGTATCCAACAGTTCCTCTACGTGTATTGTTGCATGTTTACCTCAGCCTCGTATACGCCGCTTCTAGTTCCACTATTACTGCTTTCAGTCGTCAAGTCCTAATATTTACCACACTATCAGAATATCTGAGCAAAAGGCTGGTCTTAAATGGTTGATAATATTCCTAAAGCGCCATCCAAATATCGCTGGAAGAAGTGCGCAGATTTTGTACCCAACAGTACTCACTCACTCATGGAGCTGAGCCCTTCTGGAGGAGCCGCAAATTCTGCAGCTACTCAAGAATTTCCCAGCATTTTATGGAACCCGAAGGTTCATTACCATGTTCACAAGAGCCCTCCACTGGTCCCTATCCAAAGCCAGATCAATCCAATCCATACCATCCCATCCTACCTCTCAGATTCATTTTAATATTGTCCACCCACATACTCCTTGGTCTTCCCAGTGGTCTCTTTCCTTCTGGCTTCCCACAGATATCCTGTATGCATTCCTCTTCTCCTCCATTCGTGCTACATGCCCTGCCCACCTCATCCTCCTTGACTTGATCATTCTAATTATACTTGGAGAAGAGTACAAGTTATGAAGCTCCTCTTTGTACCCAACAGTAGTAATTAAATTTATATAACAATTTAAAGAGATTAATTTTAGAAGATTCATACACTTACGGCTGATTATTACTTTACAGGAAAATTCGAATTTATCTACACTGTGGAAAACAGGGCATTTAGGCTTTCATTTCGCCATCAGCAAAATGATTAAAATAAACTAAAAGTGATTTAATTAATCTTCATTTAATGGCCTCTGAACATGTTGAAGTCATTACCTTTGTAGGGCGTGAACACGCTGTAGGTCACATGATCCCACACAAGGTTTTGTTTAAGGGCAAATGTTAAAACCCACACTGAGTAAACGATATGCTACTGTGAGCTTCAACGGGATGATAGAGCTATTCAACTTCTGTGAAATGAGATGCACTCTTGATTTCAGACGGGCGAGACAGGCTAGGCTTTCCTGACACTACATACGAGAATAGTGTTGTGTTATTTTGAAGAGTTTTGTATTCTGGGATATGAGGCCGTGCAGTCCGGCGAAAGTCAATTGACATTTCGGAGGAATATAACGCCTCCATCTTCAAGATAAAAGAATAAGCCAAGTAAGAAATTAGAGTGAAGCACGCAGCAAGGATATTCAAAGAGTAAGCCAGAAAAGAAAATGGCATGGAGATGAAGGTGATGTGTTCCTCCGAAACGTCCGTTGACTTTCACCTGACTACTTGTTTTACCCTATAAGATAAGTTTCGTCATAATCACCGCTGTGTGAACCTCAAATAGAATATTATGTTATTTTGTTTGTCTAGTAACAAGACACGTCACTTGCATTCTTTCGAAAAATACGTTCTGAAGCAGTTTGTGATGAAGTTTCAAAACACTGGACAACACATCCCCAGAGACGAAAAGTTGTTGCAGAGTTTGGTATCACCTGGGAAAGTTATAAAGAGAGAAGGGAGGTCTGTAAATGTGACGTCAGGTTTTAGAGGAACTGGAATAGAGTCTATTAAACCACACGTTATTTTAGATTCTCTATTCACCCCTCCAAACGCCACATAGAAGCGAATCAAGATAACATTCACAGTTATTCCTTACCTGAAGAACATTCAAGCCCATGCATCACAGAGGCTCAGACCACAGGAATCATCTGTAAATGAATTCTTAAATGGGACTAATGTAGAAAGATTATGTTTCAGGGCATTATGCATCTTCCTGTCTTTATCTACAAACACCGTCCTATATATTTTTCAAAACACAACGTTTCGGAGACTGGATTCTGTCTCCGTCTACAGGTAAAACCTGTAGCCACTTGCTCACACTGGTTTCTCGCTCGCGGATTTATTTTCTTCTACCCTGAAGATGGAAGCGGTACGTTTCTTTGAAACGTCGGTTTATATAATACCCACACTGCCCCACAGTCTTCTTAGTCATCGCCGTAAAAACTTCGAATCTTACAAAACCTACTCAGTTAGGCCCAATCGATTGGGGTAGCACGAAATTTCCGCAACACTTTTATCAGTCCCAAAACTCACCAAGACTACAAGCAGAGAATATGTAAGGATCAGAATTCATGTGTTTACGTGTACGTATACCTAATCCTTCCAGCCGCACTATGGTCCTGGGTTCGATTCAGTCTCTAACAGAAATGAGTACCAAGAATTAATTAAATAATTTTCCTAGGGAGTAAAGTGCAGCCGGCGCGTATGGCTAACAACCTTACCGCCATCTTTAAGCCGATTGTCTAGATAATGTGGGACCCTCAACGTCTCACAACCCTATGGGCCTTCACGGCCTGTTAGATGGATAGCTTTACTTTTTTCTTTTTACTTTTACGTGTAAATATATTAATGAAGAATGTGTTCTGCTTAAGGCAGATTATGATTATGAGTTTTCATGCTTCCAGATCCTCAATATTGGCTTTTCATGCAATGACATTTTTCCTATATATTCAGAACTTGATTTTACATTCTTTCATATTGTGAACACCACTTCTTAATTACTTTGTTCAAGGCAAAAATATAAAAGTGAACGTAATATTATTACCTCTGTTCTCTTACCATCTACAACATTTTTATTTTAATCTTCCCTGTTAGCCTTAATAGAACTGTGTTAGTGGCCATGTCAAAAACACGTGATCTTAATATAACCACTGTATTGAGTCTTCGTTTCTTCATATTGTCACGTGATATTTGGCTATAGACGGTGTTTGGATTATAATCGGATTTATTGGACATTCATACAGCTCGTGACTACACTCCACAAATCAATGTCACACAAAACTTAGTGTTCTCAATCACAGTCTTTACTACGCTATCTTCCAGGTGCGGACGTTTCTACGGTACCGGACTAATGTCCTCGCAGGCTGGCGACCATCTCACACCAACCTCCTACTCTTCTAATTACTATATCAAAACTGACAAGCGAAATTAAACGTGAAAATGAAAGTGAAAGCCGTGTTACGATCGGCGATTAGTTGGCCATTCATTCTTGGTGTTAAACTCAATTTTGGGCCCAAGACCATTTTTTTTACTGTAAGACATTTGCTTATTTGCCTATGTGGAACACACTGCCTGCCTGCCTGTCTGCCTGCCTGCCTGTCTACCTGAATTGCTGCTGGCCCTTGTCTATCTGTCGAAGCCAGAATTACTTTACTCCTGGCGGTTTACCGCCCATCAGTTCGTCTTGGCGCCAAGCCCCTTGAAGTAACGATCAAATTTTTTCCTTGAACTGAACCCTTGCGGTCATAGTCCTTCTGTATTGTCCTATCTGACGAGAGGATGGGTTTATCTCTTGTGAATAGGCTTCGCCTTTGTTAAGTGTACGTATCACACATGCAGCGTGGTACTGAAAATTCTTGCTTTTGCGCTATATACAGTTCTTCTGTCAGTGTAGGCTTTACAAAGCAAATCATGCCTAATTTGACGCGTTTGTTATGCCATTGTCTACCAATGATCATGTTTACGGAGCTGTTTCCTAGCAACGGCTGTCTCAAAATTCTGGCGTTCTGCAGACATGTCACAGTATTTACAATTAGTCTCGCAATTCAGCAGTCATCTTGCTGTTCAACACTGTGCATATAGAAGATAGTGGTAGCATCGTAAAGTAACAGACAAAGTGTAAATTCATGTGTTCTGTGCCGCACCCCCAAATTATTTTCCCGTTCTTACCACCCTAATCATGTCTCTCTTTTAAGGGTCTTCGTTAAGGGAAACTTCGCTGCTCTAAAAATAACCGGTTGTTATTTACCGGCGTTATTAATCGACTTTGTGAAGAGGTAAATTGTGGAAATATTACCGACTGTCCACAAAATGAATCTTTATGAATAGAGAATATTCTCCTCCTTGATTGCTGTGTTTGTTACAGTTCGAGAAACCAACATACGTCTGCTAAGGATAAAGACAGAAAATAATGAAACAGCAGCATCTACGTGTAATATGAACGGGACGTATCAGAACTGTGCTTACTGCGGAAGTTACAGCGAGAAGGAAAAACCAGTGAAGGATGATCCTTCCAGCCGCACTAGGCCCTGGCGTTTACTCAGCCTCTAACAGAAATGAGTACCAGGAATTAATTAAATAATTTTCCTGGGGAGTAAAGCGCGGCCGGCGCGTATGGCTGACAATCTTACCGCCATCTTTGAGCCGATTGTCTAGATAATGTGGGACCCTCAACGTCTCACAACCCTATGGGCCTTCACGGCCTGTTACAGGGATAGCTTTACTTTTTTTTTTACTTTTTATAAAGGATCAGCTGAGATCTATTTTAAGTGACGATAGCAACGAGAGGTCTCAAGAGACACAGTCTCCACCTTAGAACCGAGCAGAGTGTCAAGAAGTCTTCCACAAAAATGCAGACATATTGGATCTGAGGTTAACACAGCGGTGACTATGAAGAGTGTGGTCTTCTGCGTTATAATGCCTCTTTTCTGAGCTGTGAAAACATAGCTTAGAAGTCTTACAACTCAGACTTGCTCGTATCTGTCTCGACTCAATTATCAGCACGTCTTTAGCTGCGTAAGTTATAACTTGTAGTTCTAATCATAAGATGATTTTGAATGCTGAGTTAGTAAAGATGTGGAATGAGGTATATTTTAATACTTTCCATGCCGGATTCATTTACAAAAAGAAAAAATAGAACAAACTCCGTGGTTTTAGTTCGCAAGCGAACTATACCGACCGAGCAACCGCCGCTTCTCGGCGAAGTTAGTGCCGAGTTTAGCGGATAGAGAGTGTCACGTGGTCAGCGCAACGAATCCTCACGGCCGTTAATTTCGGTTTTCTAGACGGAGCCGCTATTTACTTGATATAGCTCCTCAATTATCATTACGAGGCTGACTGGACCCTGTCCCACACCCAGTACTTCTCAGAAAAACTCTGGTAGAGTCGTGAATCGAACCCGGACCTCTGAATCTGTAGCCAGGAACTCTAACCACAATACCAGAGAGACGGTCAGATTTATTTACTGTAAACTTATTCTGTTAATATGTTTCTAACATTGCCGATCACAGTGGCCGCGCGGTCAGAGGCATGGAAGAGGTTAAGGCAAAATCCTAGAATAATCTGGTCGATGTAAGGAAAACTACGGAAGCCCTGTAAACGATATCATGTCCCCAGCCCGACTGAACCGAGCATTTTCCGAATACTAAACAATAATGGAAACCACTCTCGCTGAAGTGGGATATTTTCTGGTTGGCTGAAGAAATAGTTCCGCTATTTATGCACAGAATGGCCATTGAATTGTCACCATATTACAAATATTCCTAAACACCAAAATACAAGAGATATTGAAAAACGGTTTCCACCGTTTGAAGAAGAAACTCAAAAAGTCGAATGCTTAGCAGTACTGGTAACAGTTGGAAACACAACACAGGCCTTTTCTTTCTATCTCTTGTACTTTATGTTTCGAATGTTCGTAATGTGGTGAAGATTTTATGGCAATTCTGTATATTTATATTACAAAAGGCGAACCTATAAATTGTTTGTAACTAACTTCCGTTGCCTTGAAATTCTTCTGTTAACACAAATGTGTGTGTGTGTGTGTGAGTGCGTGCTTGTAAATTTCACTGTCCAGTCATGAGCACGTGTCGTCCTGGGTTCAGCGCCAGATTCATGCTGTTCTTGCAGCTCTTACACATCATATGAGACTGATGGTACTTTACACAATCAAATTTAAATGGAAGATTTTAAAAATACCAAAATTCAGAAATCAAATTGACGTATGTAAATTAACAAAGATTTTATACATATCTGACAAATATCAGCAAGGGGATTCTGATATATCGGGACCTATTAACAACGGAGAAATGAACAATTAAGAAAGCTGGTGTTTTTAAATTTTAAATTGTGTGCAGTGTAACAGCTGCGTGAGAGAAATACACCTGATGATGGCCATTTACGGTCGAAACATGTAGTGTAGAAGAAACAAGACAAAAACACTAAAATAAATTGTTGCACTTAGGACGGAGTTTATGTCATACATTGCACTCCTGCATGCCCTTACCATAGAGACAATATGTAATTGCTCCAGAGTACTACAAATTAGAATATTTAAATGTAAGGCAAAACACACTATTTTTCTGTTAAAAGAATCTTCTGGCAAAGTATTTCTTTTATCAACAGACGATCTTGATGCCGAAGAGTTGGCCCTTCTGCACAAGCGGGTTGGCCGGAAGAGAGGTTAGTGGCTATATTATTTCGTAACATACATTTTAATAAAGATAACAAATATATCAAGTTTTAGTCTTTCTTTTTAATAAGATACGGAGAGAACGTACTTAGTGAGGGTTTGTATCTCCTTTGGTTGGGTGTTACCGCTACCGGTACTCACGGTCTCTTCGCTTGCGGATTTTTTATATTTCTCCTTCTACCCTGAAGATGGAGGCGATACGTTCCTCCGAAACGTCGGTTAATAGCACATCTGCACGGTGCCAAATCCCAAAAGACTGCTTTCTTCAGTTTCACCCTTATCTAAGCATCAGTGTGTTCGGGAAGTAGGGTGAGCTCCAGTCTTACATGATCACTGTGTCTCTTTCATATAATTGCCACAGGCTTGTTATACTTAAATTATAAGGTTATATGTATGAAAACGTAACATATATCTTATGTTGTGTAATATCTCTACTGCTTATTAGCATTCTGTTTACTTCTGCGACTTCAGTTGAAGAACACCAGCAATCCGAGTACGCGGATGAGAATAAATTTTTGTTTGTATAAGATTTCAATTGTATGTTTCAGATCATTAGTATTTCAATTAAATAAATCATTGTATTTCCATTATTTCGCTGGTAGAAAACGTTTCACATTCTTATTTCAAGAAATTCTTAATTTCACGTTGTTGATAATATATTAACCATCGCAATAACAATTAATTTAAATTCATTTATTTATTATTTACATGCCTAGTCAACAGCCACAAGGCCAATTACAGACAAAGCACAGTGTAGATAAAAGTAGGTACATACTGGACAAACACAACATAAAGTCAAGGCAAATTACGGGCAAGCACTGGAGGAAAAACACAATAATGCAGAAAAATAAACAAACGAACAAATTAATAATGATAATAATTTCATTAACATAAATTTAAGTTGTTATTGAGAACTGAGAAATGTAAAATATAAATATTTAGAAAGAATA